CTCAGCCAGATTGTTCTCTTGTCTTGTGGAGAGAACTGCGTTGATGCTGGGCTTCGTGCTCCGAAGACGGCAGAGCCGAGGAATAAGTGGGGTTGTATGGTCCAAAATGCAATCACTCATTGCATGATTGACTTTCCTGCCTGGGCCGGAATCTTCGATGCCGAGGGACGGCAGCTGGATGAACTTGGCAATATGGTCTGAAGGTGATGCATATACATAAGATTTTCAACGAGAAATTTGGAACTGGTGAGTTGCCGGGGAGAGGGTGGGATGTAAGATATTTTTTGAATTTCGGATTAGGTTGTATACCCGGCACATGACAACAAATAATCTACGAATAACAAAATTGAATAGTACGATTCTTGCGTTGTTAGGATGCTAGCGCATGATTTATTGAACATTTGTGATAATCCTTGAAGCAGACATTTTATTATTTAAACCGTTTATGCCCAGTAGCCTAGAAGAGCCATGAGACCTATTTGATATCAGCATTGACATGAACCTGTTAGATTGAGAGAGAGAGGGGGGGGGGGGGCTTACCAGCTCCCAGGCACATGAGTAGAAAAGCCCACAACATCCTGCCTACAGGTCCATTCTGCATATACGGGCTAAACATGAATTCATGGGCCATGAGTTCGACCAATCCAGTATAGACAAGGATACCCGCACTGACGGAATCAAAGATTCCGTTAACGATGAGCGCTGTCGCACTCTCAGGTGCGTAGGAGTTCCGGATGCCAAGGCCAATGGCGATAGCTATCGGGGTGGAAAGACCGTAACCCAGGCCAAAGAAGTAAGGGGTCCACTGCTTGCTCTTCGGCCAGGGGACGGTAGCAAGTCGGGCGCCGAGTCCGAGTCCCTCAAAAGTCTGGTGGAACACGAGAACAATGTACAGAGTGATGAATTCTTCGCCAGACACTGCAAGGGTAAGACCAATAAAGATGGAGTGGAAGACAACACCGAATTCGAGAATGAAGATAGCCGTCATCTGTGCAGCGTAGTTCTCGGGAATGACGCCGCGTTCTTCCCAGTCAGGGTTGACGAGGGAATTATCCGTGTGCTCGCGCGCGTGCCCGAGGTGGTTCTCCCCAGGTACATGGTGCGAGTTGGTAGTCATCCCCTGTGGTTCACCTTTGTACCGGCCTTCTAGCCTGAGCGAGTCTCCTACGTTGCCCGTTTGTGGTATCGGTGGAGTGTTATTCTGAGCATGTCCAAGCTCATGTTCATGTCCATTATCATGCGAATGACCAGCTCCGAAATTGCCATATCGCATGACGACTAACTCCAGGAAGAACATGGCAAAGATGGTCATTAGGGCAATGCCCTCGGGCCATGGGTAGGAGGTGATGGAACCCGTGAGACATGGGTTGCCGAGAGCCTCATTGGCAGGGGCCAATAGCTGAAAGACCATTAGAGAGCGTTATGGAATAGAGCAAACTTCCACTTACGTGTATGAATGCCGTTGCAACGATAACCCCAGAGCCAAAATACTTGGCGATAAAAAAGGCCCAGTCCGGGACCCCCAGACCGGCATGGCGTTTAGCATATACCGGAAAGACAGCACCTGGACAATGTCAGAATGTTATTATCTGGGAAATCGGGGCTACAATAGACATACCAATGACGGATCCAACAAGAATAACGAATATAGATGAAATTCGGACGCCCATACGTCCATCATACTCATTGCTACCGAGACAGTTGCCTGGGGAGGGTTCAGCCTCATCCGCCTGTCGGACGAGCAGTTGTGCTGCCACTTCCATCGGTACCGCCATGGCTACTAGAGATGGAGAAGTAGTGGCTTTGTAGGACTGACTGAAAAAGACTTTTCTCGCGGCTGTTGGAACAGTGCCGTATATTACTCTTTTATGACCGCAGCACCGGGACCTAAGCAATGGTTGGCATGCGGCGGATATGCAGGGTGATCTCGCGGGAGTGAGAGCAAAGACGGGGGACAAGGCCGTTATTTATTGCGCCGAGCAGATCAGCTAGCACTGTGGTGGATCAAGCTTTTTAAGCACCTTGATGGCGTTTGGGGGCTGTGTAAGCATATGGATGTGTGTGCGTGAGTATGTAATAGTTTGTATTTGATATGCTCGCAAAAGGAATCGACTGGAGTGGAGGCGGGCTGAGGAGGTCAGTTTCTTTTCGCAAGTGAGTACCATGATGGCCTCGATTAGCGCGCCTGTGATTGGCCAGCAATAGGAATCGTCCCCCTTGGAGGAGGTTTTGTTCGCGATTTCACTTAAGGTTGTCCAGGTGCGCAAACATGCTCTTCTCCAGGTCACAAGGTACGCAATATGCTATCCATGTCATACGATGGATTCCATCTCTTTTGCCAGCTCCGGCATCTCGACTCTCCTTGTGAAGTTCTGACATTGCTTGGCAGCCGCAACCAAGCAAGCATCAGATGGAGATGGTACGAAAGGGGTCCACATATCACAATCACCGCTTCGTCAGCCACGGGCTGGCGCTAGCCCTGGAGCAGGATGGGGTTGGCGATTGGAATGATAAGCTGCATACCACACCCTCGACGGTGCAGAGGCCCTGTTTTCTCAACGACCCGCTCTCTCGCCGACCAGCGTTCGAGTTTCGTGGGGCCGAGCCTGTGTTGGTAGCAGCGGCGGATGAAGGCTGCCAAGGATGCGTTCGCCCAGATGCGCGCTCAGTGTGGTTCCATGGGGCGTGATGAGGTCGTTTTGTCCTTCGCGCCGTTCCACCCGCTACATATGTTTGAGCGTGCGATAGAGCCTTGGCAATTAGCGACGCAATCAATTAATATAAGTAACTTTATTCCCGGCCTCGTCGGTTAGATGCCGAGGGAGGCTCCTAAGGTAGTGGTGGGCTCACGTGCCCGCATCCTCCAACCCTGGAACCTTGGTTTGGATGGCAGAGTATCACGTGAGGCTGCTCCGTTCCGTTGCCAAGCGCTGGGTCCCCAGTTTCGGCCTAAGGCACATGCTTGATTGGTCTACAGCCCGTGTGGGGTACATCGAGATCTCCACCGTCATGTGGCCTGGCATGATGGGATTCTGCCACATTCCCATGGTTGAGCCTCTAAACTCTGACCCCCGCCATCTCCTCGGCGAATCCTCCACGAACATGCTGTGTAGAGCATTCTGTAGTGTACGAGCAGGGCAGATGCCCAGGAATGCAGCCGGGCCGGCTTCTCTCCATTAGAGCCCAGCTTGCATCATTCCGATCCGCCTTGCCTTTCAGCAATTGCGCATCGGAACCGTCCCTAGTGCGTTGCCCCCGTCCAATGGAAAGAGCACGAGCTTGAGGGGAGCCTCAAAAGTGACGTACTGCATTCGCAGGAGCCCCGCTTGCCCAAACTCAAGCATGGCAGCTGCGAGGCAGGTGACTTTCAATTACGTTCTTTTATCGTTGCCTTCCGCCTCCTTTTCATACATCAAGGCCGCTTTGTCTCCTCCGCTTCATTCCTGCTAGCCCTGTTGAGAGCCACATTCGGGATACCACAACACTATCAAAATGATCATCGATCCCATTGAAGCGTTGAAGAAGACGTCGAACTTCCCCATTCCGATCCCGACAACTACGTCGAAGCCGACTTCTTCCGTGGTACCAATTCCATCGGTCGTCCCGGACACTCCTAAGCTTGAATTCGTCGGACACGATGGCAAGGTAACGCTATGGGTGGTCTTTGTGATCATGGTGATCGCCTCTGCAGTCTTCGCTGCAATGGCATGGAGGATCCCGGTGGTGAGTAGCTTACACCTCCGTCATATACAAGCAAGTTAACAGCATCAGTCCAACCGTCTTTACCACGTCATCACGACCTTGATCACCATCTTCGCAGCACTCTCGTACTTTGCAATGGCAACCGGCCATGGCACGGCCGTCCACCACATCACTCTCCGTCATCAGCACAAGCATGTTCCAGACACGTTCGAACACATTGACCGTCAGATCTTTTGGGCTCGCTATGTTGACTGGAGCCTAACTACCCCACTCCTACTTCTTGATCTGAGCCTACTCGCTGGTCTCAGCGGAGCACACGTCTTGATGGCTGTTATCGCGGACGTTATTATGATCCTGACTGGCCTGTTTGCTGCCTTTGGCTCGGAAGGCACCCCACAGAAATGGGGCTGGTACGCTATCGCCTGTATTTCGTACCTAGTTGTTATCTGGCACCTCGCTATCAACGGACGCGCTCAAGTCTCCAACAAGAGCCCCAAGGTTGCCCAATTCTTTGCCTCGATTGCATTGTTCACTTTGGTTGTTTGGACAGCTTATCCAATGCAAGTTCCTTCCAGATTTTCATATGGGTCTCCGTGCTGACAATCTTCAGTGTTTGGGGCATTGCCGATGGTGGACGGATCGTCAGCGTGGATGGAGAAATCATTGCGTACGCCGTCCTCGATATACTTGCGAAGCCAGTCTTTGGCTTCTGGCTCCTCTTCACCCACGCCAACATCCCCGAAACAAACGTGGGCCTTGGAGGCTTCTGGGCGAACGGCTTGAGTGGCGAGGGATCGCTCCGCCTTGAAGATGATGGAGCTTAAATGTTGAGAGTGGTGAGACGGGCAACTTTAATGATTACCGGGCATATAAATTGAAAAGATGTGATCGAAAGGTTGCATTTGAATGTATGTAAAGTATTCCTAGTTTTGAGTGTGCATTATACTGTGAGGCAAAGATGCCAACGGATTCTGTTTATGCACGATATGGAGCTGGTGGTTGGTGGAGGTTAATCTCATGAGATGGTTAGGTCTACATTAGTTCATATTAAATACACAGCACAAGATAATTCCCATTCTATAACAACAATCGTCTGACCAAGCCAATACGTCAGTGACCTGCTCTAAGACCCTTTTGGTGTTCACCGCTTCTCTCCATGGGCTCGGTTTGTTGCAATACGACATTGCTCAGGTCGTTGACTGTACAGAACTTTTCTCATATCTCTTTGAACCATTCCCTTTCATTTCCTATATATTCCTAATCACCCGAATAGTTTTTCAACAATAGTAGTACCAAAAGCTAAGTGGCGCAGCGGAAGCGCGCCGGGCTCATAACCCGGAGGACCTCTGATGTGGGATTCAACACCTCTTCCATCTGTCACGCAAATCAATACTAAGGTTTCTCTCTAGCGAAACAGAGCTTAGCTAGCTAGCTGTTCGATTTACGGCTTCGACCTTTCTTTTTCTTTTTCTTTTTCTTTTTTTTTTTTTTTTTTCATTCCTCGTGATGGGTTGGGGAATGTGTTTTTCGGGGCACGGTGGGTAAGGGGATGGAATGCGGTGTGGAATGGGCTGGTCAGAAGGGGTGGAATGCTGGATTCTATTTGTGGGGAGGCGTAACCGTATGTTTCAATGAGTATCTCGACATGATGATAGGATTTTTGATGTTGAATACCTGAATTGTGGCGTCAAGATAAATGGATACTTGATGACTCGGTAGAAACCTATGTGATTGTGGTGTTACCATATGGTATCCGTGGATCTACCGCCGGTTCACTATATATATTTCCCGTAGCTCATATACTCGTTGCCACAACTCTTTTATGGCACGAGACGAATAGTACTATATTAAGTAGTATAGGTCGCACTTTTGACAACCCCAAGAAAGAATTATTTGCAGGTAGATTTGAGCACCTGTTGTACTTGATATCTCCGCGACCAACCGAACGATTCGAAAATATGAGGCCATTTCTAGTTGCCTTTACGGCGTTCTGCGTAACAGCGTAGGTGTTCTTGTTCTTGCTTCCTACTATAACTTCACTAATGCAGCCTCAGAGCATGCTCCCCTGTCTCAGACATTAATGCACATTGCACAAAGATGGTGCTGAAGGAGCCGCCTCTGCAAGTTCGTTGCACATTTTACGAGCACACGAGCACACGAACAGAGCAGATTGACTGTGGGGGCTGTATACCCAAGACGCTGCTGCTCGGGGTTGGACTAGTAAGCTTGCCCGCCTCCAAGTATGGCGTTGCTGTTGGATGATAGCTAATAGGTGAACTGTAATAGCCATGTAGAAGTGTCACAACGGTGCCAGGCACTGCCGTGGTAACGACCACTGTCTGCGCTTCCTCCACGCCGTCGTTGGTTGTACATGACAGAGTTGAGGGTGTTGCCGTCAGCAGTTGCGTGACCACAAAAGCAGCTGAGGCAAAGCCTTTTGGAAGGGAGCCTGAGCGCGGGACGATGACATGGGGTGATGATGAGAACTGGCTGGCGGGAGCCCTGGAATGAGATGTCGTGACCTGACATGGCGCCGCCCGTTGCCCAGGTGCTTCGGTCATTGAGAACCGGGATTAGGCCCGATGCGGGGACAACAGCAGTGGGCAGCTTTGTTTGACCCCTCCCAAACACAGCCTCCGGTCACACTACAAACACCCAGCTCCAACCCACCTGCAATCTGTACCTAGTTCTGATCCCAAATTCAATTTTCCCCCCCAACTCCTCGATAGCCTTGAAAGAAATTCACCATGTCTACTGAACCCAACGTCGTCGATGAGACTCCCATCTCCCCCGTCCGCCAAGGCATCGAACGCCGCAATAGCTTGGAGAAGCACCTGCAACACCGCCCGGAAGCACAGGATCTGAAGAATAGACACATCCTGCTCGACACGAGTGCCGCTCCGTAAGTTCTGCCTGAGAATATTTCCACACTGACTGTGCTTCACGGTCGCTGTGATTGTGGAGAGTTGCTGGGGCCACAATGACGTCCTGGGAGCTTAGCAGCGCTAACGAGCATGTCGGATATTAGGGCACTGCAAGCAAAGGCGCTGGAGCTGGAGCGACAGCGAGCGACAGACAACCTGAAGAAGGGATTGGCCCACCGTCCGGACCGCGAGACCTTGGTTGAGCGTGGGTCCACCGGCACCACTCAATTAAGCACCCCACTGACTTGCTTCTGCTACAGGGAACATCCTCCCAGACTCGACTGCCGCGCCCGCTCTACAGGGCCACCAGAAGGAACTGGAACGCCATATGCGCGCTGATAGCTTGGAGAAGGGACTGCAGCACCGCCCTGCCCCCGAAGAGCTCGTGAAGAAGGGCATCCTCGAGGCCGACGAGAACCCGCTGAAGGAGGTCTAGACAAAATAGTAGGGACATACTCTGTGATACCGCGGGGAGAGGTCTCGGTGCAGATCTATCATGTGCTGAGAATGGGGCATATGGGACATTTACTCTCATTTTTAGGGCGTTAATGTGTTTTGGGACCGCTTGGACTTGACGGCTGGGCGACTGGATGGGTATGGTTTATGTGAATAGGGTTAGCAATACTAGCATTTTTGGCATCTTCTCGATGTTTCATGGCTTTCCCCTATCGAATGATCCAAGAAGAATTGTCACGTTACCCACCGGCGGTACTTCCAACGTTGTGGTTTTGAGGCAACCGCGGTGCATATATTTTAGACCCCTGGGCTTTGCTCCCTCGAGGAAAGCCCGAGATTCGACAATCTATCCTGCTAGTCATGGACCTTGCGCATGGGTGACGGAAATTAGCCGGAATTATTTACATTTTAGTGGACTTTTGGTATTTGGACTCGTTGCCCTAACCATGAGGCTTCAAGGACCCAAAGGTTTGCAATCAATCCCATCTTCCGCTAATTTTGTCCTGAAGCCATTTGGGAATTGTGGGTTTCTTCTCCCAACCTTCTTTCCACTTCTCCTTCCAACCTTCCACGCTCGCCGGTAATGCATAGACTGCTGTAGCCAACCACTTGGTCTCGCCAGCTTTCATATCAGTGTGGATGGTCGGCAACACCGTACGAGCTTCAACCAGGTTCGAGTTGGCATCCGCCAACAATATGCTTCCTTGCCTCTTCCCAAGCGACAACTCAGCAATCCCCACAGCTCCAGATCTGGAGGCCGCAAGAGCACTGCTGAAGTCGGCTTTTCCGCCCTCGGAAATAGATTCATCCAAACCTTCCAAGATCCTGCCGTCAGACTCCTTGCATCCATAGACGGCAAAAGCACCTTCTGCTGTCTGTATATCCCGAGCTGTTCGGATACGGTGGACTCTCAGGTGCCAGTTTGGTGTATCTTCGGCTGGTGGTACGAGGTAAGTGAGCACGTCTACGTCGTTCCATGGCTTCATGCTCGACACCAGGACTGGAACTCCGTCGTGGTTTTCGATCTCCGAGTCGCCGCTTAGTGCACGTCTCATTTTCCATATTTCGCCGTTATCGTCGGAAAGCGCTAGGGATGATTCAGGCACGAATTGCTCTAGGGTGTAGGAGCCGGTTGGTACGGAATATGCGAAGGCAGAACTGTAGGCAAACTTGCCGTATTTGGCTTGTGTGGCTTTTAGAGGATAGTGGCAGGATTGGCCGCTGGAGAGAAGGAAAGTGTGACCACCGCTCTGGACGACGATATGTCTAGGGTGAGGGAGTGGCTTGACGATCCGTTGACCTGCGAAGGGATGAGGGTCCTCGGGAGAATTCCAGAACGGATGGCTTTCAGGCATTGCAAGAGGGGCAAATGCCAACATACACCAGTATGGGGACCCGGGAGAGTTGTAATTTTCTGCGAGGTAGGTGTTGGGATATGAAAAGCCTAGGCTAAGCATTCCGTTAGGTTGAAAGATGTCTTTTTGCGTTGTCCACCACCGGAGGTTCCGCAACCAGATCCCTCTTACTGCTCCCCAAGATAGCGGGGCAGGCAGATCGACATCTGCAAATGCTATTGAACCCCAAAAAGCTACCATTGCCCAGCGATACGTTAATGATCGCCCGAAAGTAATGGCACGGCCCTGGGGATCGAAGTAATGCACGAAGTCGTGAGCATACATCCGGGCTCTATTCTTATACTCCTCAGCTTGCGTCGGGTCGGTGTCAGCGGCGAGCTTCGCATACAGTAGTTGGAGATATTGGATGGCGAACGATCCCGAATAGTAGTCCATTTGACGATATCCCTCCGGCCCATCATTCGACCAGCCGTCGCCGCGATAGAAGGTATTCAACTGCTTAATATCGGCCTCAAGACGCTCTTTTGACCATGTAGCACCGTTTTTCGCAAGTCCGAGATTGGCAAAGACACGGAACCACAGCCTATTCAAGTTTCAATATCACATCATAAGCTCTGAGCTGTCATCAATGCGAATTGAACAAAAGAGAATTTCTAGGAAGAGGTTGATGAGCAGAGGGGGCACTGTACCAATTCGTATTGGGCATGTCTTTATCATTCATGCTCCCCAGCCATCCCTCGATATTTTTCTTCTGCTTATCGGTCAACGGGTCCCAGAAGTCTTTATGCGCAATTGCAAGTGTGTATCCAATCGGACACGCCTCTACCATTCTTTGGTCTTGGTCTTCCATATAACCCCAAAACTCATCGCTCTCTGGGTCCGTCCCAGCAACTAGGCCCTGCACGAAGCGCTCTGTCCCAGCATATTTGCTACCTCCAGCTAGCAGCGGCGCTAGCGCCCACAGAGGGCGGGCATAACCTTCAACCTGCGCGGCAGTTTCATCAAATCGTGTGCCCGTGGACCCGACTTTTACCATGGAATGGAGGGGGGAATCTCCACCCGCGAGAGGGTCCAACAGCGAAGTCACTGCCGCCACAACATCGTCCCTTGAGCGGAGCGGATTCGTGGAGAAAGGATGGAGGGGAAAGGAACGATTGGCATTGGCTGTGGCGGCGGACATTTCGGCCTCCGTTTCCTGTTTCCAAGAAGTCCTGGGGAGGCTTGCCTTGGGAAGTGTGACTATGCGCAATGGGATCGGTGGCTGACTCAAGATCTGGCCGAGAAATGCAGGCGAGTAAACAAGCAACAGAGCTTCAGGCGAAGGTTCTCGGAGACGGCGCGGAGACTTGCTGGCGTGAATTTGCTGTTCCTCGACGCCACGGAGCTCCTTCTATACAAAGGATATGTCGGCACAATTGCCAGCGGGTCTGTCCGCAGAGCTCCGTCTAGACTGGTGGATTCATCTACCCGTGTCGCTCAAGAGTACGGCGGCAGAAATGGAGCTTCGACTCGGTTGAGATCCTCTAGCCCGAGGCCTTGCAACGGTTAAAGTCAATTGATGTGCATCAGGCCTCAGGCCCGCTATACCCGTTTGGCTCTTGGCTGATAGTTGCACGTTCGGTCCCACCCCAGTCTCCA